GTTGTCCAGATCATTTGTTTCTATTTTTTAGTAGAGACGGAGTCTCGCTCTTACTCAGTCTGGTCTCGAACTCCTGACCTTGAGCGATCCACCCACCTCGGCCTCCCAGAGTGCTAGGATTACAGACGTGAACCACCGCACCCGGCCAACAACTAACTCTTAAGCAGATCAAATTGCTGATTTATCTGTATGTGATTTTATTTTCTGATATTACCAGATAATGATAAAAACTTTTTGCCTTTGCAGGTAATGCCCTTATTAAATGTGGAGAAACTCAAAAACGAATTGGAACTGCAGACAGAGAGCTAATTCAAACATCAGCCTTAAATTTTCTCACTCCTTTAAGAAACTTTATAGAAGGAGATTACAAAACAATTGCTGTGAGTTGGAAAATGTTCCCTTGTTATGCAAAATAATTTAGATAAGCTTATAGTTTTTAATGAATAATTATCCCTCTTAATGACTATGTAGATGTAGCAGATTAGAAAACCTAAATAATCTAGGCAGGTGCATATTCACCAGAACACAAAGTGAAACTAAGATAAAGGACTATTGATAACATTGACTCCATTTTTGTGTCCTAGTGTTAGAGATGCCTTAACATCCATTCTCATTCATTACCAACACTAAAATTCATAGGGAGGTTCCTGGAATGATTATGAAAACATGGTATAAAATATCACCATAGTATAGCCATGTAGCTATTCATTGGGAACTAGAAACCTAATTATTGAAAGGTATACTGGCTGTTATACTTGCCTAGAAGTGTATTATCTTCTTTTCACATCGTTCTGTTTTATTACTAAAGCGTAAGAAATAAATCACTTTCTTTCTCACACCTGATCTATTAGTCTATATTTTTTTATTTAACTTATTTTATTAGTGATGGAGAATGAAAATTTTTTTCTAAGATTTTTGCAAGGCTGCTTGCTCTTTATTATGAATACAACTTCAAACCTTAATTTGCAGATTTCTTATCACAAAATATTGTAGGAACTTTCCATATGTTTACAGTGGATTTGACTCTGTAAACAAGTATTTGGCCTGAGACAGAAGAAAATCACCAACTTAAAATATAATTTAAAAGATAATAGCTTGTCAGGTGGATGAGATTGGAGGTGTGAAACCTAAGAAGTAATAAAACAAACTGAATTATAGTAAACTTACCTATTCTACAGAAGCTTGATGTTCCCATTAGGAATTCTAAGATACTATATTAACACTTATTCATTATTTATTCTATAAATTTGGTGAAATTTCATTTTGGAGTAGTTGAGTTACATTTGGTTACAAATTAAGAGCAGCCTGCCCAGTTCTTGATGTAGAGCGCACAGGACATCAAGGAACCTTGCCCTAGACTCATACTTCCTTCATCATAGGCACTTTCTGGATAATCTGTAACAGTCTTAAAACGATTTCTCATCCTGGCCACTACTGATATTTTGGGCTGAATAATTCTTTGTTGTGGGCGCAATACTGCATTGTAGGATGTTTGGCAGCATCCCTGGCTTCTATCCGGTAGATACCAATAACATCTTCTCCCAGTTGTGACAAACAAAAAGATATTCTCAAATGTTCCCTGAAGGACAAAAATCACAAAATATTTAAACTAATATTCCTTTGTTTTGATCACCACCTGCCATATTTCCCAGACATCTAGATTGTCTTAATCATTTTAAAATTGAAAACAGTTAAAAAAAAAAGGGGGTGGGGGTCCCAGATACCTGAATCGTCACTTTATAGCGAACTTTGTAATCATAGATCTTTATCAGAGGATGTGTGTATTTACTAAAGAATAATACTTTAAATGTGTATGCTCATACTGGATTTTAGCATCTTTAGCCTGTATTTTTTCTTTTGTATATTTATAGAAAGAAAGAAAGTTATTACAAAATAAGAGACTGGATTTGGATGCTGCAAAAACCAGACTGAAAAAGGCAAAAGCTGCAGAAGCTAGAAATTCAGTAAGTAGTGTTTTTTTTAAATAGAAAAACATTTTATATTAATAACTTCAAGATTTGTAAAATATTTTATCAATATACTATGCAAGATACAGATTGTGCTTAAGAGTAGAATATGACTTTGGGGTGTTGTTTTGTGTTTTTAAACAAATTTATCATCCAAATCAGTGCAGAGTAGCCATATATCAAGAGACGATATTCAGCTATACAGTTGTTATTAAAAAACAAAAATTATGGTAGCTTCTAAACCTGTGTCATGTTCTCTAAATATCTTCAATGGTAATGGCAAATATATGTTTTGGAGACATATTTATTTATTTATTTTGAGACAGAGTCTCACTCTCTTGCCTGGGCTAGAGTGCCGTGGCGTCAGCCTAGCTCACAGCAACCTCAAACTCCTGTGCTCAAGTGATCCGCCTGCCTCAGCCTCCCGGGTAGCTGTGACTACAGGCACGTACCACCATGCCCGGCTAATTTTTTCTATTTTGAATTGTTTGGCCAGTTTCTTTCTATTTTTAGTAGAGACTGGGTCTCGTTCTTGCTCAGGCTGGTCTCAAACTCCTGAGCTCAAGCGATCCTCCCACCTCGGCCTCCCAGAGTGCTAGGATTACAGGCGTGACCCACCGCGCCCGGCCTGGAGACATATTTATTATATTTGGAAATAGCAAAAAAGATAGTAATTAAAATGAGAATAAATCAAGTTTGAGGATACTTGTGTATGGCTTAAAAATTAGATGCATTCCCTTTCCACATACGATTCAAACTGACTAAAGGAACGGTCACCAACAATAGCTCTAAAACCATTCAAACAGTGGCAGCTTGAACTTACAGGTGGCTATTTTGAAGGGGAGGAAACCCACTTGAATAAGTAAGTTCTGATATATGTTTCAGAAAATCAACCTCAGAATAGTCTTTTAAAATTGAGTAGGTGTATATTAAATACAGTAATTCAATTTTTCTTAAAAGATTTTATTTATAAGCTTTTTTAGTTAAACTGTCTATATTTTCATTCCACTGTTTGAAAAAGTTTATCAGATTTGAACGGGAACACTTTTAAGATAGTACAATATAAACAAGTATGAATTTGTTACAGGAAGTTAATTCCTAATTTAAGCAAAGGCATTATATTTCCACTGCCTTCTGTTTCTAACTCAGTGCCACTACCACCATTAAGAATCATTGCCTTAGGCCGGGTGCGGTGGCTCACGCCTGTAATCCTAGCTCTCTGGGAGGCTGAGGCGGGCGGATTGTTTGAGCTCAGGAGTTCGAAACCAGCCTGAGCAAGAGCGAGACCCCGTCTCTACTAAAAATAGAAAGAAATTAACTGGACAACTAAAAATATATAGAAAAAACTAGCCGGGCATGGTGGGGCATGCCTGTAGTCTCAGCTACTCGGGAGGCTGAGGCAGGAGGATCGCTTGAGCCCAGGAGCTTGAGGTTGCTGTGAGCTAAGATGACGCCACAGCACTCTAGCCCAGGCAACACAGTGAGACTCTGTCTCAAAAAAAAAAAAAAAAAAGAATCATTGCCTTAACGAGCATATTATTACCACAATGCTGGTAGAAGTCTGGTAGTTCTTTTGCTTGGGGAAAAAAGATTGAGAATTGGTTTAGAGCAAAGTTTAAAACTGTGATAACTCGGTGTTGAATAGTGATGTCTTATGAGATGACCCAAATACCTTCTATGAGCAGAATAAGTTATTTTTTTCTATAGGAGTCCCCTTTTGAAGATTCTGTATTAGCTACTGCTAGAGAAGAGCTATCTTTGATAAAATGTTGATTCCAAATTCACTGGCATTTTCACTTCAGAGTTTATGATGACATCATCATGTGAACACCATAAACTTCCCTAAAAAGACCATCTGCAAAATCAAAACTTTGAAAATGAGTACTATAGATGGAAGAGACCCTAAATTAATTTTAGTTTCTTAGTAATAATGAATTTGTAAAGTATAAATTGATTTTTAAGGTACTAATTTCATAATCAACAAAGAAGTTAAATAAGGATCATTTAGAAATAAATATTTGAACTGGAACAGAATCTCTTTATTTAAAATGCCTACATGTGCCCAGCAATGATTATGGAATAAGAATACTGTTGTCAAGTTGCATTATAAAACTTTAATAAGCACTATTAAAGTAGTGGTAGTCTGCTTTTCTACCTGGAAAAATGCCAGAACACACATAAATTTAACAGTATACAAAGTCCTTTGATTATTCTAAATTATTTTACCACTGCTATTTAAATGGCTAAGAACTAAATATAATAGCAGATCAATTTTGAGAGATGTTTCCTTTTAATATATCTAGAAAAGATTTTGGGAATTTTTTTGTGCTATGTGTTTTTGAAGACCATTTGTTATGGGAATTTGTTTAAACTTAAAATGAAAAAAATAATACAAATGACTTTATTCAGCAATTCATTTATGCACAGCTCTTCTAGAATTTATATATTACATAAAACAAAATTTAACTGTAGCCAAATATTAAAAATATTAGTCTAGACAAAAATTCACATTTCCTGATTTTAGTTACGTTCTTTCCTGTAGATAACCAATTCATTTTTCTTCAAACTTTATAGCAGTAAATCTGAAATACTTTGGGAAGGAAAGGTCCTCTTAGTTTATTATTTTATAAAGCTTTTATTTGGTGATCCTTTTTTTCCCCCTGTATCTCTCTTCCATTTACTTGAAGAATACAAAAGAATAGAAACCACTAGGAGTTTGGGTTTACTTTTTTTTCCCCGCTCCTTTGACACATTTCCTGGTTCCTAGTTGGCAACCGAAGAGGTTAATCTAACCCCAGACTTTCTTTGAATTTACTTCTGTATAAATTTCTGTGGATTAACTGTTTTGTGACTAGTTACTCCTCTACTAATAAGGTTTGGGACCTGTGGATATCAGCACTTTTTTAAAAACTTGATTTCTTTTTTTTTTTTTTAATTCTGTATTTGTCGATTGCTAATTTTGTGCAAGGTACTGTCTTGAGGAAGAGTTCATAGATAATGTAAAATCTCTACTGGCTGCCCTAAGCCTATAATCTAGTATACTAGGTTAAATTTTTAATGATATGTAGCTGTATCAGTAAAAAATTTCTGCCTATAATCCAGTATTTCTACTTCACTAACTTCTGTTTTATGAGCATGTAGAAGAATGGTAAAGCAACATCAAAGGCATTTCTCAAAAATATACCAGTTAAGCAGAAAAAAAACCTACCTTAATGTTTAACAATGAACAAAAATACAGTTTTGAAAATAGTTTATATATTTGATAAAACTTATGTCAGGAAAGCAAGAACAAAACATAACTACAGGTTGAGTTATCCCTAAACTAGAAATCTGAAAAGCTTCAAAATCTGAGTCTTTTGAGTGTTTACATAATGCTTAAAGGAAATGATCACTGGAACTTTTTGGATTAGGGTTGCTCAACCAGTAAGTATAATATAAATATTCCAAAATAAAAAAAAACTCTGAAACACTTCTAGTCCAAGCATTTTGGATAAGGGATACTCAACCTGTAATGCATTTAAATTATAAGTCACCTATATTTACTAATCTTAGTCTGATACAAACTTCTTTTTAAATTATTTTAGAGTTTTGTTAATGGGAAGAAAAAAATCAGATGGTTTTAAAGCTCTCCAGTATTTAGAGGTTTAGACCTTTATTATTTTGGGGCATCCAAATTTGATGGAAAATATTTCAAGTAACATCATATAGCAGATATGTTCCTCTACCTACTTTAGTACTTCCACAGTGGTCTAAATCTTTAATGTGTAAACTCAATAAATTTATAGCACCATCACATAACCTTAACTTTAAATTCAAACATGTATATATAAAGTTTATTAGAAATACGAGGATTGGCATGCCTTTCATGTTTCTTCAGGACATGCCAAGACCTGGCTGAGGCTGATTGAAAGAAGATGTGATTGAAGGCATCATAAATTCATAAAATAGAAATGATCTTTGAATAGGAAAATTGTGGGTAGGCAAAAAGACTTTCATAGGTGAAAATTTAATAAGATTTTTAGGTAACTGGCAGTTTTTAAGGTGATATGTCGTCCCTAAATGATTCTAATTAAAAATCGAGCATCAACCATATTTTTTGTTTTAAAAATTTGAATTTTTTGGAAAAAGTAAATAGACACCACTATGTGAAACTTCATAGAATAATATAGTTGGGGTTTTTTTGAAGTAGAAAAATTTTATTGGCTCCTTTAAACACTTGTTTAGTGTGTTCTTTATTGTGCAGAAGTAACTTGTTTCACTGTGTTCATTGGTATAATGTGTTCTTTGTCTCTTACCTATGCACTTAAGCAACTAAACTCAGCTCGCCTTGAAGGAGATAACATTATGGTAAATTTCTCTTACATGCTCAACTTCCTGCATGTAAAATGGCTGAAGGTTTGTTGGCCTACTGTGTTTTCTACATCTTGAATAAAGTGCCTTCTCTTGGTATTAGGGGCATGTAAAATTCTAAAATAGTTGAAGCCATTCATTCATTGTATCTAACAAAAATATAAGGAAAAAATACTAGCTGAAATCATACTGGAACTTGAAGAAAAGAAATTGTGTTTTCTAATTGCCAAATATATTGACTATGCCAATACATATTTTAGAATCTGAATTTATACCTAATACATAGTACCTTTTTGCACCCAGTATAAAATGCTAATTTAAGCTGGCACTTCATATTTTGGCAAAGAAAATTAACAAAATTTACTTTATTTAGAGAAAAGTATAAGGTATACAAATTAACTTTGTTCCTCTGTAGCTTCATTGTTTACCTTATATTCACCCAAACTCAACGTAGAATTAATTTTTTCGGCCATTCCAGGTGAAGACAACCCCAACAGGTTAGGTATTCCTACAGTGGCCAAACCCATTCTCCATCCAATGCTAACTCACTTAAGAAAGTTTCAGATAGCCTTGGGGAAGAATAGAGAATAAGAATTGTTTTATAGTATCCAATGTATCTGTTTAGTTCAATTTGAGAAAAATTTTGTGATATTAGACATTTTTAATTTTTGTAAAATTTGTAAAATCTGAACATAGCCAATAAAATTTATGGATCCAGTGTTTTGTATTATACTTCTAGATATATTACTTCCATTAGAAGGGCAAGAATCTACAGTACAATTAATAATATTAATAAATTGGCAATTAACTGACTGCTTTTATTCCATGCATTGACTAAAAGCAGGAAAATAATCTGTCTAATGGGAAAGATTATTGTACAGAATACATAAAATGTGTTTTTATTTTTGGGGGCATTTTAACTATAATTATTGAAGCCCTGGCTAAATTATGGCTTTCTTTAAATAGCAAGAGAATGCATTCTTTTATTTCCATTATCCTATCTATATAGGTAATTGAAAAGGGTGAGACTTATATTTTAGTCATTGCTAATTTAGTATATAAATCATAAATTTTCTTTTGTCTTAGGTACAAGCATCTTTTGTCTTAGGTACAACAATCAGCAGGACTTTGTTTCATTTGTTAATACTAATGTAATCTACTTATATTAATAGTAAGATATAACTCTAGTAAGTTTAAATTTATTAGATCTCCAGTTTGTTTCCCCCAAAAAGACTATGTCAGCATTCGGCTTATGTTAATTCCTGCTTTGCTTTCATTTCCTAAAACTCTAGAATTTATACCTAAATGAGAAATTAGAAATCATTTAGTCCAAACCTCTCATTTTACAGATGAGAAAACTGAAACTAAGAGGTTAGATTTTCCCAATTTGGGAAAAATATTATTCTTGTTAATTTATAGAATTAGCATAAGATTTAAAAATTGATAGTACTGATACATATAAAAGGCATACTTTTACAATATATTAAGCTGTACTGACTTAGTTACTACTGTGTTTAATCTATTAATATGATACTAGAAAAGGAGAGTGTATCATTTGAATTAAAATATTTACATTTTTCTATACTAAGTTGTAGAAAATGTTAAATTCCAACTTTCTTTCATGCTCTATATTTTTCTTTAATTTTTAATGCTGGCTAGATTTGGGCAGAGGAAGTGACAAAAGTAAGTAAATTATTAAACTACAGAATTATGAAACAAGAATTTAATTGTCATTCATTCAGTAAATATTTTTTGGGCAACAACTGTGGGTCCAGTCACAGTCTGTGTTACTATATCTTATAAAATCTGAAAATTATGAAATGCTCAGGTCTCTTTAGCCAATAGCTTCACAGAGCAGAATAACAATACTGTAGAAATGTAGTTTGCATATACCCTGATAAATCTTAGATACCTGTTACATTAAGTGTTAATCTTAAAATGCCTTCCTAGAAGACAGTTGAAGTACTTAAATTTATTCATTGATAACTATTTTTTTAAGTGACAGTTTTTAAAATGTAAAGAATAGTTAATACCATGTCCTGTATCTTCAGGCAGTTGGACATATGTGTCACACAAATTTTTTAGGTAACTGAGACTTGTTCACTCTAGCACCAAAGTTTATTTTTCTCAGTCATGTTGAAAATGTTTGTGAAAAATGTACTTTACTGTTTGCAGCATTAAATATAGGATAGCAGATATTTAATTTTGCTTACAGTTAAGGTCATTAATATGAATATTCATTATTGTACTGTGTAACAGTTGGATCTGTTGTTTGTTTTTCAAGTATGTTGTCTCCTCCCTCAGTGTCAGACTGTTACTTCTAGAAGCTGTCCATATGACTGCTTTTAGGAGTCCCTCTGCCTGTGTTACCGTTTCTAATGTTCTCTGGGCTGGGGAATCAAGTAATTAAGCAAGAATTTAAGGAATAAAATTATGACTTTAGTGCAAACTTGTTTCAAACGCTATTTTAGGTTTTCAGCATTTTTCATTTTAGTCCTTGTGTTTGGGCCTACCAAAATTTGACTTTCAGATGAGGATGATACTGGGGATTGAGGATAGGTGACAATTGTGGCCCCTGACTATTAATAGCTTTATAAACTTTAATTTTTATTTTCTGGCTTTGTAGGATTGCTGATTATACAGTCTGTTCTATGCATAGGCAACTTACACTCTCATCTCCCTTTGTTGAATCTATTCATCAACTTTGTTATAGTTCAACCCTGACTTCTGATTTCTCCCTGAACCTCTCTAATAGAAGAGAATATAGATTAAACAAGAAAACCAGAGGGTCTTCCCCTCTGGTTGTCATAGAGGTCCACCAAAAAATTTGACTCAGATTTTTGCAGTCCCTACAAGTTTAGGAAATAGTTGATATAATAAATGGAAAGAAACTCATGAAACAAATGTTTATATTGTATATGTTAAACCTTAAGAAATATATCAAAATGGATTTGGGGGGTTCTTCTATACTTCTCATTTACGTCATTTTTATAATTAAAAAATTTATAAATTTTAAAACTTTGTATTCTCAGAATATTTTAAGATTTTAAGCCCATAGGAAAAGTAGGTTACATCAACCAAGATTGTCTCAGCAAATGCCTTAGAAGCATGACCAAAATTTCTCTTTTATAAATACCCTGTCCTGATAACATGGACCAACAAATTCTTGCCCATTTTCCATCTTAAAATAACTCTTCTTGCTTACCTAATCCATGTTATGCTATCATACAGTCTAGATCAATTAGTCTAGTAACAGTAATTTTTAAGAGTAGGCCTTTACCCTAAAATTTTATATCTTAATTGTAAAATTAAGTCAGGGAATGAGATCTTTGAGGACAGAATCTCAGTCGGCCCTTTAAATTTATTGTCTTTCTTTAAACCTTTCTTATCTATCTTTCTAATATGGATCATTTTCTTCCCAAGTAAACTGATTATGCTGAACCTAATTTAAATTTCCTTAGCCTCTTAGATTATTATGACCAATTATGTGTGTCAGAAGTATAGATGGCTTGGGACATTTGACTGTGTTTAAAGCTACCCCAGACATACACTAAAACTTATTTAAGAAATGAGATTTGTTCCTTTCTTATCATTTACCTTTTTTAAATATAAAATCTAGATTGTACAGAAAAATGACTTCCTAAACTTTGTAACATGGTGCCTTTCTTCACAATTACATACCTAAATTTTGCTCAAACCTAAAAGACCGATGCCCCATCCTTAATGAGATCATTTAATATTTTTTATTCAGTATACTTAACATTAAAACATTATTTCCACTTCAGTCTTAAGCTTCCCGGTCACCTTAATCTGCTACCTGGTTTACTTGTTTACACCTTGTACAGAAATACTACCATTTAGTAGGCTTTTCTGCCCTTTCTACTAAAAGTCATTAAATCGTACTTTCACAATCAAAGACCTATATGAAACTAGCCTGGTGTACTTATAAAGTTCATTTATTTTTGATTTGCTGTAGTTACTCCTATTAATCAAAGCCTTTTTGTATTCAACCAAGCAGAACAGTAAATAGTGCAAATGTAACATTGGAGGGATTGGTTTTCCTTAATGCTTTCCTGAGGAAGAACATTGATTCTTTTCTTCTCCTGTGACTTTTTTATGCTTCATGCTAGCTTGCAGATGAAGTTTACTTTAGCCCTGCTATCAAAACACCATCTATTCTGGTTTTAGTCAAGTAAATTTAATTTCAATTCTTGACTTACTGAGTAATTCAAGCTTATTTCCATAAATCCAATCTAGGGGTCTTAGTCTCTTCTGCCAGGTTTGTTGACTGTGGGATACTATAGCAACTGATTATCTGCTGCTACTTCCTTGTTGACTGGCTCACTAGGTTAACTATTGCCACCAAAGGATGAAAGAGAAGCTTGGCCTGAAAGGAAAAATTTCAGATCTTGTTTTTATGCTTACTACATTTTGGAAACATTGTAAATTATTTATATGAGGGGGAAAGCTATTTATGCTGGAGAAGTAGAAAAATATCATTATTAATGACATTGTCACCAATGATGATTCCCAATGGGGGATAAGCTGATTATTTTGAGTGGGCTGTGAGGTTTTATTTTCTCCTCCCCACTTATTACCAACCAACTCTGGCTAAATATTTGAGATGTTTTTGGCCAATATTTCCTGTTTTTAGATCTTGTTGATTTGTCAGTGAACTATTTTATCCCAACACTAAGCCTATATCAGATGGTTGAAGCCAGAAGTGGTATGCTATTATATGTATATATATCATCTCTTCCTAATTCCAAAGTCCATGACTTCAACTTAGTAGCTTAAAATCAGCCATGGTGGCAGTATTTGTACCACGAAAGTCTGGCAGTGAGAGCTTTATTTTTTTTTTCTCAGAGAACAGTTTACCAACACAACACTGATTGAAAGTCAGCCATAAATTGCAGAAAAACTTTTTAAAACCCTAGTATATAGCTTAACATAATTCTGCTTTTGGAATATTTTGTGCATAGTTTAGAAAGGAAATTTAAAAGAAAGATATTTAGAATGTAAGACAAAGAATCCTTTGAAGGAACGTAAGAACTATGTCCCTAGCAACAAGTGTTTGGTAACCAAACACAAAAGGTAAAAATCCTGTGGCTTCACTCTAAAGTCTTTTGCATTTGAAATTGAAGACTATCTTTAACTTCAAAGTAAAAAAACTATGGTAATAATTGAGAATTTTTTTGCAGTAATATTATTTTATACTTGCTAAACTGTAGTAATCTTAAAATTTTATAAAATATTAAAATTTAGCAAAATTGATACTAAAAATACATGAAAATATCTTAAAGGTCCCATAGTTTTTCTAAGCTCTTTTGAGTATATCATTAAGCTTTGGTATTAATAGATTCTTTTGAGTCAAGTACTGGTAAGGAATCAGTTCTACTGAAGTTGAGTAATATAGAAAAGCTAAGGTCTAGAAACAAGGAACCAATTTAGATACAAGTAGAATCGGGGAATTGCCAGAGTATCACTTGAGCTTTGTTTAGGAGATTTTTTAACTGTCTAAACAAATATATATAAGATAGACTAAGTCTTCTAATGAGATTCTAAAACTATGTTCTAATTTAAGTCTGAACAGGAATTAAGAATAACTCAAAGTGAATTTGATCGCCAAGCAGAGATTACCAGGCTTCTGCTAGAGGGAATCAGCAGTACACATGTAAGTGTTCATTTATTGGAAATTCATTTGGAACAAAAGTCCTGAGGCAATTTGGGTAGGAAAAACTGAACTTCCTTTTCAGTCATTTATCAAGAAAATTTAAATCGTGGCATTTTCCAAGATATGTGAAGAAATATTTTAAATTTTTGTTTACACCTCATCACCTAGTTCTCCCACCATCATCATATCCACTTGTTGGGATTTACTGGCTAAGCAGAGTTCGTTACTATACAGAGATAGTCTTAAGCCTTGTAGTAAGATGCTAGATATTGGTGATGCTCTTTCAGTACAATGTTGTGCTCTGTCTCCCCTTTGCATTTGCCACTTTAAGCAGATTATGGAGCTAAGAACTAACTATAACTTTGTTTTACAGGCCCATCACCTTCGTTGTCTGAATGACTTTGTAGAAGCCCAGATGACTTACTATGCACAATGTTATCAGTACATGTTAGACCTCCAGAAACAACTGGGAAGGTGATAATTTACTTTTCACATATAAAACTCCTGATAAGGGAAGAAATTCCAATTTTTGCATGTGAACTAATAGTAGGAATGAAGATTAGAATTTAAAGACTTTTTAGAATTGGATTTTTTTTTCTTTTTTAGGAAAGTAATTATCAGACTTCTGAGGTAACAAAACATTTTGAACTGTCTAGCACAGAAGAATGTTAACAGAGATGAGATGATAATTTAAGTGAATACCTTTTTAGTGCTCTATAAAGAAAGCTTGAAAGTGTTTGAGTTCACTTTTCTCTGGCTGCTGAATACTTTTTGCTATAGGTTGAGGAATATAAGTTGCACTGACACTTAGTTACCCATAAAGATAAACTAATTTATACTTTTTCATTACTTACTATATTGAAAAAAAAGGTTTTAGAATATTCTGTAAGACTTCATGTCCACTGATGTGATTATTTTGAGTATGATAATATACTTTAAAGCAAAATGATAGTATGTAAAGCACACATAGCCCAATCATTCATTCATCAAATATTTGTTGACTACCTACCATGTGCCAAGCATTATTTTATATTCCAGGGTTATATTAGTAAACAAAACAGGCAAAAATGCTTGCCTTTGTGGAGCTCACATTAGAAGGTGACACTAGAAGTAAAATTATGTACACAGGGCAAGTATGATCTCCATTCTCACACTTAGTCTAGGTAGAAATACAGGCCATTGGTGGACAGGCCATGGGATAAGCAGAAAGGTAAAAGTACAGAGTATTGTTATTGTGAGGGCTTCTAACTGTGACTTAAGTACCTTTAACAAAGTTTCCCAGATGAAATTATCTTAGTAAGAATAAGCTAGATGATGAAAGGGGCACAGCTGAACATTTTCCAAGCAAAGGAAGAACATGTTTAAAAAAAAGGCCCAAGGAAAGAGAGTAGTATGGTAAGTTCAGGGAACTGATAGTGGTTCATTCTTGTTGGATCATCGTGTTCAAGTTAAGAGTAGAATGGTAGTTGAGTCTAGAGGAGCTAAGCAGAGTCATACCACGAATGGCCTTTAAAGTAAGTTACAGTAAGGAGTTCGGGATTTATATAGCAAGAAACCATTAAAGCAGGGGAGTGATACGTGTCATTTGCAGGAGGACTATCAAGAAAAATTTTTTCAAGAAGCAAAGTAAAAAAAATAAAGTTACTTTGCTATTCCTTTCTGCACAGTAATCCTTCAAAATTAGGCCTAGAACAAAATTAGGCACATCCACAAAACCAACTGTGGATCTTAAAAATGAATTGTAGCCTAACGTCTTTAGTTATTCTAATGGAATTTACAGAAAGATTTACATTTGTATATATTGGAGGTTTTGTTAGTGATATTAATAATCTGCAAGCAGAACACCACTTTATCTCCACATCATTACAACTATTTTAAGTCCAAGAAGCCTTAGTACTTCCTTCCCACTTGGTCCTGAAACTCTGGGAGTACAGCAAAGGGGTTGCTCTTGTTATCATTCATATTTGCATTCTGCTTAAAGCCACACAATGCTTGAAACTCAGCCATATAAAAAAATACCTAGTTATTACTGCACTTAAGGATAAGCTCCAACATAATAAAGTAAAACCAGTGCTTTAATTCTAGAAAAGAAAGTAGCTTGTCTCTCTGCCCTCAAAAAATTACATTACTGCTAAGGACCAATGAGAGTAGAAGAAATTTCAGCCCTTTAATTTGTTTTAAGTTATGCTTTTTAAGACAGTACATAGAAATATTCAAATGTAGAACTTTACAAATCATCCAGATCCACACCAGCAAATTCAAAAGCTATTTATGAAGAGTAGAACCAGGTTGTGTTGTTAATAGTTGTAATAGCAGTACCAATAGGCAGTAGTAGTAACTAAATAACAGCAATCACTTCTGTAGGGCTTACGTTGTGCACAGGCACTCTTCCAGATACCTCATATGTGTTATTAACTTTATAATTCTCACCACCAAATGAGGTGGGTACTGTTATTATTCAGATGTCAAAGATGAGGAAACAGAAGTACTTGTCACAAGATTAGTAAATGTATTTTAATAATTGGAAGGCTTTTACATATCAACCTAGTAGTGGCTTAATTGATTGATATTATTACAGTATGAGTAATTTCTATGATTTTTTTAGATGTTTCTGTAAAAGTTCTTAGAAGGTGAAAATGGCCATACAGATTTTTGGGTTTTTTTAATCTGTACAAAATTGACTTAGGTAGACTTCAGTGGCTAAGCAAAGACTAATTATACTAGGAAATTTAAAAGTAAAATTCATGGTATAAAAAAGCCATGTGTGTGTATACATATAAATGGAAAAAGAGCTTATTTTTTATTTTCAGAAATGTATGTATTTAATCATTGCTGAGGAACCACACTCACTGAGGAAGGGATGCTAGGAAATGTGGTCTTAATTTTAGAGAGTAAAACCTGAATTAGAAATTATTTCTTTTCATCATTAGAACACTTTATCCATCAGAGAAACATCTACTTTTAATTGTTAAAATGCACTGTTCTAGGCATGGAGGATACAGTTAAACAAAACAATCAAAATCCTTGCCTTCATGGAACCTACATTCTATTTGGAGGTAGAAGGGAGCAGAAAATCAATATGTATGTAAGTTATATAGTATATTAGAAGGTGATAAATGCTATAGAGAAAAAGACAGCAGGGAAGTACCTTGGTGGGGGCAGAGAAAGATGTGAGAAAACAAAGCATGCAGCCATCTGAGAGAAGATGCTCCAGGAGAGGGTGCAGCAAGGACACAAACCCTGAAGCAGAAAGATAGCTCGCATGTTGTAGGAACAGCAAGGAGGGCTTGGCTAGAAATGAATAGAGGAAACATGTAGGGCTTTGAAAGCCACTGTGTTTAGACTTTGGTCTTTACTCAGAAATGAGGAGCCATTGGAGAGTTTTGAGCAGAGCAGTGATGTAATTTAGGCTTTAACAGGATCATTCTGGCTGCTGTATTGAGGATAGATGTTAGTGGGCATGGGTGGAAGCTGACAGACCTGTTTTGAAATTATTGCAATGATTTAGTCAATAATCCAGTTAGAAGATGATAGTGGTTCGGATCAGGGTGATTATGGTAGATGTGATGGAAGTGGTCAGCTTCTGGGTGTGTCTTAAAGTTAGACCCAGCAGGGTTTGCTGACAGACTATATGTGTATAGGACTTGAGTCAAGAATTACTGCAAGTTTTTGACCTGGGCAACTGAAAGAATGGAGTGGTAGTTATTAAAATGGGGAATGCCACAGGAGGAGCAGGTTTCAGGGATTGGGCAAGGGAGAGCAGATTAGGTATATCAGAAGCCCAGTTTTAAACATGTTAAGTTTGAGATGTCTATTAAATATTTTAATGGAGCTATCCAAATTTAGGATATGCAAGCGTGGATTGTGGGGGTGGGGGGTGAATTAGAGATATAAGTTAGAGAGTAATTAGCATATCAAAGATCTTTAAAGCTGTGAGATTAGATGAATCACCAAAGGAGTAAGTATAGAGAAGAGAGGATGACCAAGGACTGAGCCCTGTAGTACTCCAATATTGAGAGCTGAGGAACCAGGCAAGGAGAATGGTAAAAAGTGAGCAGTGAGGTACTGTGTAAACCACAAGCGTGGCCTGGAAGTCAAGTGAAGAACGTGTGTGAAAATGGAAAGGTGTGGTCACTGGACAGGTCAAGTGAATTGCGGACCAGATTGACCATTGGATTTAGGAACACTGAAGTCATTGCCGACCTTAACAAGAGTAGTTTTGGTGAAACAGTAGGGGCAAAGTGTGTTTGTAACATAAGAGACTGGGAGAAGAGGAATTGTGACAGTAAGTTTAGGTAAATCTTTGAAGGAATGTTGGTGTGAAGAGAACCAGAGAAATGGAGCAATAGCCAGAGTAGAGAGTAGAGTCTAGTGATTTTTGTTTGTTTTTTAAGATAGGAGAAGTAAGACCATGTTTATAAGCTGATGGGAATGGTAGAATAGATGTAGAAATTATGATCACGTGAGAGAGAAAAGGAAGAACTGCTAGAATGATATCCTTGAGAGGCAAAAGGGGATGTGATTTTGTGCTCACGTGGAGGAATCAGCCTCGGGCACATAGACAACTCATCTGTAGTAAGAAAAGAAATGACAAAAAAGCATGTTCGTTTCCTGGTTGTTCTTTTTCCTCTCAGTTAAAAGGAAACAAGCTCATCAGCTGAGTGTAATGGTTAGGAGAGAATTGCTGGAATTTTGAAGATGGGTGAGACAGTATGAAATAGTCATCAGGAGAATGGAAAGTGAAAGTGAATGAACGAACTAGAGAGATGTAGTATAATTGCCAGGCAGCATCATGTACCTACTTAAGGGTCCTAATTATAAATTGAATGTAAAACCAAACAAACAGCAAGCTTTCCTATTTTTCTCCTGTCACAGTAGATGCATGGATACTGAGTAGGTAAATAGGGAGGTTTTTACTGAAAGTACAGTGAAGTGAGGGGCATCAAAGATGAGAGCCATATGCAAGGGGGTGATTATAATAATTAACTATGAACATGAAAAGAGTGCTGGTAGGATCATAGGTCTTGATAGGCTTATTGAACTGAAAGTACTAGAAATGAAAAGGTGATGGTCAGAGAATGGGATGGTGGAAATTATGATTATTGGAAGGGTTGTAGTTACTGGAATTGATACAGTCTAGATGTGACCAGGGGAATCGGTGGCTGAAGTAGGATAAGGTAAGGTACAGAATCACTAGAAGAGAAGAGTCAGTGGATCAAAGAGGCTAAAGTGTTAGAAGAATTGTCCATACAGATATTAAAGTCACCAAGAATTAAGTAAGATAGTGTCAGTGAGCTAGAAATGAAAGGGAGGGAATGAGATATCTGTAGATGATTACAAGAAGAGACAGTGGGTAAGTATAACATGAAATTGAAAGATTGGGTAGAATTGGTTAGAAAGAGTCTAAAAGTGGGAATGAAGAGCATGGACTCGTATTTCATTTACCTCTGGATTCAATGGTGAAAGAGGAGTATAGGAGATAAACACTAGCATAAGGAGGCAAAGGGAAGGTTTAAAGATACAGGGGATTTTGTTAATGGCTGATTTCCAGATGGCACGATGGTCATTAAGAGAAAAGGGGAATTTTATTTTCTGACAAGATACATTTCATCCAGCTTACTGTGTGAGAGGACTTTTATATTTTAACTAATGGATTTATTAAAACATAAATAAGAATTTTCATAGATAATTTCTAACCTTAGAAATGGTTGAATTAGAATGATTATAGGCCAGCTGCCAGCTGTTTTACACTGTTTTCCATTTAGTAGTATTAGGGAAACAGTAGCCTTCAAATAAATTGAATATTCTTATAATCTTCAAATTGTTTATAAGCACATTAGTCACAAGATTTCACTGATTTCTAATAAAACTTTTCTTTTTTTCCTAAAAATAGAATAAAATGAACGTGTGAAATTTGACCTATTCTCCCATTGAGTCTTCTATTTCATTATGAAAATATCAGTCATAACATATTATTTGAATGTCTGTCTCCTCACTTGTCTGTATGTCCTTGAGGGAATGGTATCTTTTTTGAGACAGAGTCTCCCTCTGTCACCCCACCTAGAGTGCAGTGACATCATCATAGCTCATAGCAACCTCAAACTCCTGGGCTCAAGCAATCCTCCTGCCTCAGCCTCCCAAATAGCTGGGACTACAGGTGCGCACCACTATGCCCAGCTAATTTTTTTTTTATTTTTGGTAAAGATGGGGTCTCATTCTTGCTCAGGCTGGTCTCGAACTCTTGACCTCAAGTGATCTTCCCACTTCGGCCTCCAAGAGTGCTAGGATTACAGGTGTGACCTACCACGCTTGGCCATCATTTCATCTTTATGTCTTATGCTTGTGGTAGTAATACTGAACATGTAGATACTCAATAAATATTTGTCATTTGATTGAATAGGAAAATGTGATTGGACTGGTTTTATTTTAAAAAGTTTAGGTATTCAAATATTTCTCAAGGAATTAACTTGAGGAAGCATCATTCTTATGGCAGTGTCTAAGTTTTCATTGATATTTTTATTTAACAATTCATAAAGAGGAAAAAATAATACTAACAGAAATTTTTGGGTAGTGCTTTAAGATAAACCATACTTTTTTTCCTGGTGGGAAAAAATAGCCATTATGTCTGCTTAAAAATTTTAAGTTGATATTATAGAAGAACAGATTTGAAACAAACTTTGAAGGATTTATATTTGAATACCATGTGAATTGTCTCTCGTATAATTGGCCCAAGAGGGGAAAGGAAGATGGCACACTTTGTCATTAAAATATTAATACCTGTAAATCTTTTTCCCGTGTGAAGGTTGGTAGAAAGTAAACAGTGCCACCAAGTGGTGATATTAAGGAACTTTAATCACTTGGAAATGAATAAATCGGCTGTTTTCTTTTCAACAGTTTTCCATCCAATTATCTTTGTAACAACAATCAAACTTCTGCGACACCTACACCATCTGTTTTACCAAATGTGATTGGTTCTTCTGCCATGGCTTCAACTAGTGGCCTAGTAATCACCCCTCCTCCTGCCAACCTCAATGACGTTAAGGAGTATAATGGCAGCAGGAAGGCCAGGGTTCTCTATGATTATGATGCTGCAAACAGTACTGAATTATCACTTCTGGCAGATGAGGTGAGTATTGTGGGTATGAGAAGAAAAGTATAACAAGTGCAGATTCTTCATTACTTATTTGGAAATAGTTTATCATGAATGTTTTGTAGATTTCAGATGGGTATATTAACATTTTATAAATTTTTAGTTCCTATAGAATATAATAGAATATCACAGAAGTATTTAAAACTTTAACTGCTAAATAACTTGAAGATGTATAAAACTGCCTCCTATAAAATCTTTTATCTTTTAGCAAAATTAACAATATTTAAAGTCCTTTGGCAAATTAAATAGAAATCTGATTATTTTTAATGTAGTTAACTGGATGTATTTTATTTTGTAGGTGATCACTGTGTTCAGTGTCGTTGGAATGGATTCAGACTGGCTAATGGGGGAAAGAGGAAATCAGAAGGGCAAGGTGCCAATTACCTACTTAGAACTGCTCAATTAAATAGGGTAGACTGTTGAAAGATTACCCATCATGACATTGTATTTATGTACAATTAACTCTAAATAAAGCAGGTTTGAGTATCTTCCATGTTAATGTCTTAAGAGACTGAAAATACCAGCTATCAGAAACTGGCCTTTCTGCCGATAAAGTTGCATGATAAATATTTCATTACAGAATTTATGTTACAACTTTCATGCCAAGAATGTTTTCTTACAAAATTCTTTTTACTCAAGTTTCACTAATAAGCAGCTTCTACTTTTGAGCCTCAACTTAAAGCAGAAGAACTGTTTTCTACTGAATTTTTCATTAACAGCAAGCTTTTGTTTTATGTAAAATAAATCTATTGTGAATTGATATCAGTGACTCATTTATTAGGTATAATTAATAGCCAAAGAGTAAAATTAAAATTTGTTTTAAAGTTTTGGTTTAAAAGAGAGCTTCAGGATGTAAAAAAAAACCTCTGTTTTGAAGAATAGACTGTTTCTAAATGCTTCCATAAACAGAAATGGCAGTTATCCCTTGTTTACCTTGTTTATCAACAGAAATCAGATGATTTCAGTACTATGTTTTGATGAGTTATTTTGGGTTTGGTTTGTTTTGTTTTTAAACACTACTGGTTTCTTTTAAATTTAAGAACAACTAGTTATTGAAAGGCATTACCATATTTCTCTGTTAAATTTGTAGTTAAGGTTCTAAAACATCTGGTATAAATTCAGTTCACTGAACATGTTTTTAAGATTACTCAGTTGACACAATTTAATGCAAAATCAGAATTGGATCCATTAAGAACATACTGCAGTAAAGAGGATTTGTTCTTATGGAACAAATCTGTATAAAAATATGGATTAATGCAACTACATTCATTATAAAGTAAGTTATACACAAAATAAATTTTCCATTTCTCTGAGCTTACTCTTAAAATATTAAATTTATTAATGAACGTATGTTATCTTGGTCAGGATCTTTGCTTATGAAACACACACTCATGAAATTTTTAGTGATACATTTGAAGCCAGAAAATTGTTATATTTGGGCCATGCTATGAATCAGCAAATTGGCAGATCATTTGCATATTAAGACTTCTGTTCTCATTCTCATTCGTTCATTCAACAATCATTTGTTGAGGACCAGGTACTATACTGATCAACTGTGGATACTACCCTGAACAGGATACACACAGTACTTGCCACTGCAGAGCTTAAGACCAGTAGAGGATACAGGAAAATAAACCAGCAGTTGTTCTATAAACAGGATCAGTACTATGATGGAAAAAATATAGGATACTGTGTTCGGGAGTCACCTAACTCCAAATTGGAGAGTGAGAGATGGTTTAAGAGAAAGGGTTCCAGGTAGAGGGAAAAAGATGTGCCAGGCCTTTAGCCAAGAGAACATAGCATATTCTGACAGCTAAAAGTATTAATAATTTACTCTGGTTTAAGCATGAAGTACAAAAGTCAAGTTCATTTATTCAGGGAATGTTAATCTATCAAAATGATTCTTTTTGGTACTTTAAAAAAAAGATAAATACTTAAACAGCATTTTAAAATATCCTTTTGTGTTAAGAGCTCCTAATATGTTGATAATTTAATTCACAGTCCAAACTTTAGTTGTTACTTTTTATTTCTGTGCTGAGACAAATTCTTCTACAATTTTAATAGTTTATAAGACGTTTTAACACTGTGAATTGCTGTATTCTTAAAGAATTCCAAAAGCTGCTCAAGCTGGTTAGTTTTTGTAGAACCAAGTGAATGAAACTTTTTCGCTCTCCGTCAGAAAGGAAGTTCTACAGCCTAGTGTATCATCTGTTCTGTTACAGAAGTCCAGATGTAGGCTGTGAAAGATTGTACCAAAACTTCAGATCATCTTAAACACCAACTTATTTCCCATAAAATTAGGCTTATGGGAAATAGAGTGATAAAGAGGAAAGAGTATTAGTAATGGAATGAAATGGTCCTGGATTCAAATCCTGTCTTCCTCACACACTATACTCTTTGAGCTTTAACTCATGTATAACGGCCATTTCCTTACCAGTAAAATGAGGACAATAATTATGCTACCTTAGGGAGGTTTTATTATATAGCAAATGTTATCTTGTATTTCAGGTGCTTTTTAGGGAAAGGCTTGGCACATAGTAAACATTCTGTAAATACCAGTTTCCCCATGTGAGCCTCAGTAGCTTCCTCACCTACCAAGACTGTGGGCCTTGTTTATGACTGTGTACCAGAGGTAGGTACCTCTTTATGTCTGGGCTCTGTATCAAACCTTTCTGTTTTCATCAGGTGAATGTTGATTATAGTAGCCCAGTAACATACAGAAGCCTTCAATAATAAGTTTCAAAGGTTTCTTGTGCCTTTGTCTACCATAAATCCACCATAATATGTAGGTTTGCTTTTATGTTTATTACTTTTTATTTTAATGAGTTTTTGTTTGGTTGGTTGGTTGGTTGATTTTTTTATTTTGGTATTGGTTTATTTTAAAGTCATATGCTTAGTTTTTACTCAGGTAAAGGCCCATGAAGGTTCTTAGCCATGGAAGAAAAAGCTTAGGAAGCCTATTAATTCATGGTGCAATCCATAATTGTTTAAATAAACTCTGTGCCCTTGAGCTAATCTAAAAATATAGTAACATGTGAAGGATGCACATATGAATGAAATAATAAACTAGGAAATAATTGTAGGCTCTTCTGCAAACAGAAAAAAAGTGATTGAATTGTGTCTACCTTTGTCCTCATAGTAATCTAACCTTAAAATGTCATGGTGTTAAAACTTTTTTTAGGGTGCTAATCAGAAAAATCCATATTGCAGGAGAGGAGGTCCCACTCTGGAGGAGGTACCTCACTCTGTGTAACATGATAAATAAGAAACCTGAAGCCAGGATTACTAGTGTGGCTTAGAGCCCATCCTCATAGTTTCCTGATGTTCTCCCCCAGAAACAAGGCACAAAATGAGACTGGGGAAGCTAGTGTTGGAAAGACGATTCCGAGATAAACTGGAGTGGAAGATGATGGAGGGCAGGACAAGAAACCATAGACTTGTTCACCCACAGAGGCCCAGCTTACCTCCATGCTTTGTTGACAGGATTCCTGAAAATTCCTTCCCTGTCTCCCAAACACCTGAAATTTTGAAATATGTTACGATAGTATATAGCACTTCGAGCCTGGGTGAGGAGCCATGATGGAGAGATGGCTTTATAGTGTGGCCTACAGCCAACTTTGCCTCAACCCCTTCTCCAGATAAGATGAAGCGGCCCTTACCTCATGATGAGTCTCAAAAGCTGGCAAGGGAGTTCCACAATCACAACTGCCTTTTCTTCCATGTTATCCTAATTAGCAGTGGTTCTCAAAATGTGAGACCCCAAACTAGCAATATCGGCATCTCCTAGAAACTCGTTTAAAATACTAATTACTATTTCCAAGTGCTTTCTACCTTCCTTTGCACTTATCTTTTGTTTTCAAAGGCCTATGGGAATTAGTCTTCCATGTGACAGCTTTTTAAATATTTTAAGACAAAAACCGAGTCTTCTAGTCTTTACTGTGTTCTAGCACTAATCATAATTGTAATTATAGTTATTTTTATCATCTGTTTAGCCTATCTCTGTCACTCTAGAATTTAGGCTCTCTCAGATACGACTATGATTTTATGATCACAGTTAAATTCCCAACTCTTAGCACAAGACCTAGAACATAGTATGTACTCAATAAGTATTTGTTGAATGAAAGAAAAAAATGCAAATTCATAAGCCTTCCCCAAGACCTACTGAATCAAACTCTGGGGGTGGGGCCCATCAATCTGTTATAACAGCCATTTGAGTTATTCTCTTGCACTCTAAAACTTGAGAAACACTGCAGTAGAACTAAGAGAACTTGCATTTCACCTTCAGGCCTACTATCTGACATCACTTGAAAAATTCTCTCTGCCTTCTTTAACCCTTACTAACAACACTGCTCTGTCCAGTGTAGGGAACCTTGTGGTCTATATTATTAATACAAGTGGGTATGAAGGTAAAAGGATATGTTTAGTAGGAAATGTTGCTTAGTATGTCAGTACTTGGTAGCTTTGGAGGGTTTCTAGAAATGGATCCCTTAGTCTGAAGAAGCATAAGCACTACCACCATCCACATTTTCACTCAGCACAGTGCCTTGTAATTGGTGACAACCAATTAACATCAAACACGGGGACAAACTGTTAAAGTAGTATCAGACTAACGTGTACATTGCTGTACCTCTTAGGTTGCTAAGTTCTCTGATTCCTACTTCGAAGGAGACTTTTTAAGAATTGTTAATGCTTTTTTATAATAGAAGTCATAGCCATGTTGGCAAAAAAAAAAAAAATATGGTTAAGACGATAAAAATCACCTATAATTCCACCATCCAGGTAGAACCACTGTTATTTAGGTATATGGCCTTCCAGACTCTTTTCTGTGCATTTATAGATTTTTTAAGGGGATCAAATTATACATACGGTTTTGTAACTTTTTTTCACTCGACAATGCCATGACTATCTTGCTGTGTCAAATATATTTCTACATCTTTTTAATGGCTGCATGATATTCCATCATATGTGCCACATTTTATTAAACTGTTGAATTTTTAGGTTTCCAACTTTTCATTAATAAAGTGCTTTAAAGAACATTGTGTTGCTAAATCTTCTACGTGTTCTTAATTATTTCCCAAAAACAAATACTTCGAAGTGGAATTGCTAGTGGATAAGGTATGCCAGTTTTTTAAAACTTTTGTTACTGCCATGTTGTCCCCTAGAAAACTTTAAGCAATTTACATTTTATCAGCAGGATATGAAAGATTACTCTTTCTTTTTGGAGGGCTTCCAACAGAATGTTCTGGAGTCTTTGTTTTAAAGATAAGGGATAAGAGTAAGATAAAAAGACCCTGCAAAATTAAAGCAAAGATCAGTCTTAAATTTTTCTGACATGACATCATTTACTGTTCTCCCTTACATCATGTATTTTGTGATAATTTGGGAATGTTTGTAGTGTTAGCTGTCTTTTGCTTTTATTCAGTTTCCTGAAAGCATTATCACCTTTCTGACTTGTGCTGAAATGGTAGAAGAACAATCTTAAGTACATTCTAGGAATTTTGGGGTAGCTTTAATGCAGGCTTACTGTTGATGGTTTTAGGGAGCATGGCCATAGTGGGAAAAGTAGGACTTTAGGCAGAACAGTGGCACTCCCACTTGGTTGCTTGGCCTTGTGTCAGTCATTTAACTTCTTTGAGCCTACTTGCTTGTCTCTAGAATGAGAATAACAAACCTACTGTTAGGTAGATAGGGATTCCAGGTCTCCTAGGGATGAAAATGGATGCTGTTGCCTTGGTGCAATTGCCCCACCTGGGAATAAGG